CCTGAAGTGGCCATTGATCACCCATTGTAGAACTGCTTTGAGTATTTACTGATGAGGATTTTAGGCTAGTTAGTTTTAAAACTGCAGATGAGAAACAGGCTCTGAGGACTGGAGTTTGCTTGCCCTTTGTTGGGAAACATTTACATTTGTAAGGGAAACCTCCATCTGTAAATATGCCTCCCTCTCTGTGCCACGAAGAAGGCAGAATGGCCTTATCTCTGGAAACTCTTAATGGGGAAGGCAAGGACTTAAGCTGGTTACTATCTGGCAACCTCATGTAACTGATTTAGGGTGGTGGCTTCTGGCCTTTACTTAATCCGATTTGATTCTTATCTAAAAGTTGTGGGACCACCCAATGGCCAGATCCCACCTGCACTGATACCATTTTAAATTTTTTACATGTTCTTTCTTCTGTCTTGTAAAGAGATGGCTCACATACCTATGCCTTAAATTTAGCCTTACTCTCCACCCATGTTTGCAGCGGCATCAGTAGCGGGGGCAGCAGCAGCGCCTCCTCCTGCCCATGGGTCCTGTCCGCATGCTGGCAGCAGCAGCTCCTCTTGCCCTTGGGTCCTGTCCCCATGCAGCAGCTCTGACTGCCCATGGGTCCTGTCCCCATGCTATTCCACACTACTTTCTAAATAAAAGAGCACTACTGCCAGACCTTGAGAGTCCAAGAAATTTTTCTTTCGACTCCTCGGCTCACCAACCCCACATCATTTACTATATCCCAAAGGCAAAAACAATGCCCTTATACATAAGGATGTAACTTCCCCCACATCATTATTTCCTTAAGGATAAGCATCTCTCTCTAAACTAAGGATTGATTGCTAACCCACTGTGCTCACCTTGTGACCACCCATCCTGAGACCACAGACCTGCTGTGTTGATCAAATCGCTGTGCCTGTAAAGCAATGTCGTGACTATTATAAAAGGGAAGTTATAATCATATGATATACATGTTCTTTGACAGTATACAGCCACTCTGTACACCCCCACTTCTTTGGAGTGCTCCATTTCTTTGTGAAAGTGATGCGGGGTCGGTGAGTCGAGGAGTCGAAAGAAAGATTTCTTAGACTCTTAAGATCTGGCAGTAGTGATCTTTTATTTAGAGAGTAGAATAGCATGGGGACAGGACCCATGGGCAGTCAGAGTTTCTGCTGCCCCAAGTTGAGGAGTAGAGCTAAATTTAAGGCACAGGTATGTGAGTTATCTCTTTACAAGACAAAGAATATGTAAAAAAGTTAAAGGGGTATCAGTGCCCGTAGGGTCCAGCCATTTGGCGGTCCCACAACTTTTAGATAAGAATCAAACTGGATTGAGTAAATGGCAGAAGTCACCACTTGAATATTATCCTCAGCTAAAGACAAAGGAGGATTTGTGGGAGGGCGGGGGGTCAGTTACATGAGGTTGCCAGACAGTAAACAACGCAAGTTCTTGCCTCTGACATTGATCAGGAGCCTCTAGAGATAAGGCCATCCCCCTTCTTCCTGGCACAGAAGGGAGGCATCTTCACAGATAGAGATTTTTCTTAGAAATGTAAATGTTTCCCAACAAAGGGACAAACAAATTCCACTCCTTGGAGTCTGAATCTCATCTGTAGTTTTAAAACTAACCAGCCTAAAAATCCTCATCATAAGCCGTTTTAAAATTAAGCAGCCTAAAAATCCTCATCAAAAGGACTCTCTGGGCTTTATGGTCCTCAGGTTTGGCTCATAATAAACTCACCCCAAATTTGATTTATAGATTGGTTATGGATTCTTTGTGTGAACAGCTGGATTATTTTAGGGAAGTCTATTCTCCCATCCATCAGCACATAGGTGTTAGGTGTTTACATCAGAAGATGTTGCTTTTCAGGGGGTGACACCTTGGGTATGCCTACAGTCACCCTGGGATGATGGTGGTTGTGACAAGTCTCTCTTTGCCTATTTCCCTGTCCACACTCAGCTGTTAAATCACTATTTGTGGGCTGATTGGTCTCTTGTTTTCAACAATGCTCTAGGGTGTAAATTGCTCCAGACAAAAATCCAACCAAATTTGGGTTCCATTGAAGAGATCCATCAGAGGTCAGTGTTCAAGATTCTTTCTGACTCCTGGAGGCCCCTCCTCAGCTATTTCTTTCTCCAGTTCTTTCCTGAAAACTAGCCAGTTTACAGATTAGCCTGTATCTCCAATGGATGTAACCATCTCTTCCCACCTCCTTTCCACACAACCTCCACTGTTTTGAGAACACCCTTAGGCTTGAATTTCTCCACACTCTTGCAAATGGAGTCAGCTTCTTTGAGAGAGATTACTAACTATTTGATGGCTGGCCTGCTTGTACCTCCAGGCAAAATCTCTGAGTCATGATTATGTGAGTAGGTGTGGGGACAATGGCATACTTCTGCCTGAAATCTCCATTTTTGAAATGGGCTCTCAGTGTAGTGGGAGGGACAGTAGCGTCAGAACTTATTGAGTTTCCTCTTGTGGTGTGAGACCAACACATCAGAGCTGCAGCAAGGGCCGCAGGATTTCAGCACTGCTGTACCCAAGGAAAAGTCTCTGTCCCATGAGTGGCAGCTGGGCAGAAGAAGGGATCCCCCACTTCCTGCTTCACTCATCCAGCACTTAGCCTCAGTAGCAGTTAGCTCTGGGGCAGGAGAAGAAATGCTGAGGTTTTTCAGGTGGGATGAGAAATGCTGATGTCCTGCCCCTCCTGGGAGATGGTCCTCTGATGGGGAGTTAGGGGGAGAGGGGAACCCTATGGTCTTGGCTGCATGTGTCTGCAGTGGAGTTTCCTTCTCCATGAGGTGGGGAGGGGGAGTCAGGAAGCTGATGCAGGTTCAGGTATCACAGACTGTTGTTCTTCAAACTGAATCTTAGTAGATTTTCTTGAATAAATGTTTCCCCATTTGCTCTACGCCCTTAGGGCCATTTCCAGAGACTCTGACTGGTTGTTTAAGAATAATTGTCACGGGCCGCCCCAGGGCCGAGTGGTTAAGTGGTTAAGTTCCCACGCTCTGCTTTGGCGGTGCAGGGTTCGGATTCTGGGCGTGGACATGGCACGCATCAGGCCATGTTGAGGCGGTGTCCCACATGCCACAACTAGAAGGATCCACAACTAAAAAATATACAACTATGTACTGGGGGGATTTGGGGAGAAAAAGGCAGGAAAAAAAATAAGATTTAAAAAGAAAAAAGGAGAATAACTTTCACCAGTTTCATTGGGAAGCATGTCCACAAGAGCTTGTCACACTGTCATACCAGAAGTAGAATTCTCCATTAACATATTTTTTCTATGTAAGTTATTATGAGATAGGTTATTAATGTCAAATAAAATATTAATTTTCATCATCTGTTCTTGTCAATTCTTCATTTTTACTTTCTAAACTGTTGCATGCCACACTTGTGTAGTGAAAGAGTTTTGAATACCATGGTGAAGGACTGAACACGCATCTACAACTACCTATGTGATGTAAATATCGGCAGCTCTTGTAACATACAGTTATGGTCCTAGTAGTTGTTTCACAGTCTTCTCTATGACAGGCTTTGTAAACATTTATCTTGATGACCTTCATGCATCTTCAAAACTCATGGGCTTTGCTGCACCTTGCAGAGGCTGTCAGTAGGGCCTGCGGTGTCCACCGCCTCCCTGCCTGCATGGTGGGGCCTCAGGCTGCTTTCTCTCTCAGCAGCTGCACTGAAGAGCCCCCTTAGTGTTTTAACCTTTTATAATAATTACAATTTTGTACTGAAAAGCACTTTTTTTCTTACTTTATTCTCACATTTGGAAGCAATGATTTAATGATTTGATATGGGATTTCAAGGTATTATCGAGTTTGTCACAGTTTGAAAATCCCATTGATGAGAAATAAAATCATATTTTATTATTTAAAAAATTATCTATTTTCATTTTATTTTGCTTTTAGAGATCAGGCAATCATCATTCCACGACCTTGAAGTTTACAATGGCAAACTGTTCTTTCTTTTTAAAATTATTTCATTATATTTCTTTTTAATATTCATTTTCAGTAAGACAGATGGAAGCCCAGGAATGCCCACATCTTCTTGTGAGAAGATGGCAGAAAGATATTTCAAATCAAACTGCAGAGCACTTAGGCAGTGGAACGTTTAAATACCAAGAAATGGGTAAAGCCGAGTGGAAATGCATGTGCAGTTGTATGAAGGTCAGAAATGGGCATGGTGGTTATCAAACCAACGGAGGAGAAACAAGAAAAAAAGAAGAAAACAGTAGGACATACTATTATACAGCACTTTATAGGTCAAGGGAGAAGAGAGGCCACAGAGATGTCAAATGAGATTATGGAAAGCAAGATAACTTGAGCTCTGAATATCACACTATTTCTCAGGTTTAGGATTCTCCTGCACTGTCTGCATGATTCCCTTTCTTTACATGGTAAAGATTTATCTGTTACACGCACCCCAACTTCTTCTCATCTGCACTCTTTATTGGGTGTTTCCTGCAGAAATGCCAATAAAGACAGTGGTCTGAACCTCCCCTCGCTCCTGGCTTCTGCTCTGACCACCCTGGTGTCTTGCCCACATGGCCCTGCATGCTGTGCCCTGCCTTCTGTTCCCAGGACCTGTGGGTATAATCAAGTATTTTGTCCTGAGCCTCTCCTTTGTCTTCTCTTCTGGTCACAACTGACAGACCATCACATTTTAAAAAAATGCAAAACACTTGGTCTGCGACTTGCATTTTTTGTTTCTTCACAGTGACTTCGATGAACAAAATGAGTAATTTTTAAAAGGCCCAATATTTATCAATTTTTCAAATTGTTTTATGATTTTTGGATCATCTCTAAGAATCTTTGCCTACCCAAAGTCATGAAGATATTCATCTATTTTATTTCCTAAAATATTTATGGTTTCTGCTTATATGTTTAGATCTATAATATTCTTTTTTAACTTGGTATTTATTATAACACAGGGCAGAACATGCCACCCACCATATTCACAGGGCACCAAGCCCCCTCCCCCATGATGATCTCTGCTGTCTCTCACACTGGCCTCTCCTTGCACAGCACTCTCCTCAGGGCCCCCTTGACCTCTGCGTTCCTCAGGCTGTAGATCAGCGGGTTCAGCATAGGGTTGAAAAGACTGTAAAACAGGGAAAGGATCTTCTGCTGCTCCTCAGGATGGCGGGATTTGGGGGCCATGTACATGACGATGGGGCTGCCAAAGAAGAGCCCGACCACACAGAGGTGGGAGGAGCAGGTGGAGAAGGCCTTTCTGCGGCCCTCCCCAGACTGGATCTTGAGGATGGCAAACAGGATGCGTGTGTAGGAGACCAGCACCAAACAGAGGGGCCCGACTAAGATAAAAACACAGGATGCAAAGATGACAACTTGGTTGAGCCTAGTGTCAGCACAGGCCAGCTTGAGGACAGACAGGATTTCACAGAAGAAGTGGTTGATTTCATGACGCACACAGAAGGGCAGCCTCAGGATCAGAACTAAATGAACCAGAGCCAAGATGAAGCTAAATGCCCATGAAGTGATGACCAGGACCAAGCACACTTTCCAGCTCATGATGACAGTGTAACGTAAGGGGTGGCAGATCGCTGTAAAACGATCATAGGACATCACCACCAACATCAGGCACTCTGTGTGAGCGAAAGCCAGATAGAGAAATGTCTGCATAATGCAAGGAACAAAGAAGATAGTTCTTTTCTGGCTCACAAGATTTGCCAGCATCTTGGGGACATTGTTGGAAGCATAGGACATGTCAATGATGGCCAAGTGGGAGAGGAAGAAGTACATAGGGGTGTGAAGTCTAGGATCTAAGCAGATAAGCCCCAGAATGACCCCATTCCCCAGAAGGGTGAGGGTATAGAAGAGAGAGAAAAGTCCAAAGAGGACCAACTCCAGTGCTGGGTCCACCTGGAATCCCAGCAGGGTGACTTCTGTGATCCACGTCTGGTTGCCTGCCATGCTCCTGCGGCAGAGACAGACAAGCCCATGTCCACAACAGGAAGATCGGAGCTGTAGGGCAATCAAAATGCAAAATATTTACTGAAACTTACAGAGTTAGCATTTAGAAATGTATTACTTTGGCAAGTTGTTCTATAATTTATTTTTAGATATATTGTAAAAGTGACTCAGGGTGCTCATATAAGTCAGAAAAATAAGCCCGTTGAATCAATGGAATATTATGACATATTTATAATTATAGATAAAATAAATTATAAGACAACATAATCTGATACATTAGAATCTTCTGGGACCTCTGTTCCATCTCCAGTGTTTGTAGTTTTATTGTGAGAGTTTTATTTATTCTTTATCAGCACTTGATACTGAAATTTATGTATAAGTGAAAGAATATTTTGTGAAGTATAAGTGAAAGAACATAATAAACATATCCAAATATTCTAAATTCAGTTATACATGATGATGTTTTGGTAGCCTCTTCAAGTATGAAATTCAAAAGGAGAAAATATATTTACATTAACTGTGCGTATCTATAAAGATGACAACTGTACAGTAATTGTATTTTGTTTCGATGTTATCTCTTTTCCCTTTTATAACTTAATATAGAGACAAATCCCAGAGCTTAGCTTATTTCCTGGTGTGACAGAATCATTCGTCCTCACAATTTCCTCCCAGCTTTGGCAACTCCCATTGTCATCCAATCCCCTGAAGACCGTCCTCATCACTGTTCCCATGCTGACCGCCTCCTGCTGTTCTGATGGATTCTGAGCAGCTCACAGGGAGTGGGACGGGCTGCAGCATCAGTTGGTTACTTGTTTCTAGAGCGCTCCTCCTGGGAGGTGCCTGGGTGTGTCCAGGAGCAGAGGGAGAAAGGGCCCTGAAGGGCTGGATGGCAACATCACGTTGAGAGACCAGGTGACCTCATGCCGTCCCTTTATATTTCTTCACATCTATTCCAGAAACAGGCTGAACTATCTTTATGTTTAAATTAGTGTAATGTTTCAAATCCAACAGAGTATTTAAAAGATAATTGCAATTATTTCTTTTAGTAAAGATTCAGATCCTCAAATTTATATTTTAAAATTGGGGTTGCATTATACAGACTTTAAGTTTTTTGATGAGGAAGATTGCCCCTGAGCTACTGTCTTTTGCCAATCTTCCTCTTTTTGCTTGAGGAAGACTTTTGCCGAGCTGACATCCATGCCAGCCTTCCACCATTCTGTGTGTGGGACACCAACGCAGCAGGACTGGATGAGTAGTTTTTGAGTCGGCGCCTGGGATCCAAACCCGACAAGACTGGTCCACTGGAGTGGAGCACGCAAACTTGACCCCTACTCTACGAGGCCAGCCCCTATGCAGACTGTTTTTTAACTACCGTTTTCATTTAACATTCAGAACGCTCTTATGTATTTAAGTAATATTTTACAGATATTATTTAAAATTAGCACAATATTGTATTACAATACCATTTGTTTAATTTCCTTGTGTTGGAAATTTATGGTTCTCGTTTCTCTTACGTTTAGTAGCATTGGGATTCATATTCTTTCAAACTGAAGTTTTGTCTACCCTCCCAATTATTTCGTTAGGATATATTATAAAAGTGAAATAGCAGACGCTAAAAGCTTTGATACTTACTGCCAGCCTCCTTGCCGGAAATTTGTACAATTCTTCCCGCCGACAGTGTGTGAGAATCATGCCTGTTTCCCACATGGGCACCAATACTAGAAATTATCAGTTTTAACCTTTGCTAATTTGATATGTGAATCATTTCATACAGTTTAAATTTATATTTCCACTATTCCTTACACACATTCCTTGAGTGCATCATGTTCCAGCCTCTGTTGGAAGCTCTGGAGGCACAGCAGTGGATAAGGGAGATATTCTGAAGGGGAGACATATTCTGAGCAAGTAGGTGGTCTTCTGTCATCTGTTCCTCACATTTCCATGGAGAGGAGGGACCTCCCTACCCCGGATGAAGCACTATGGAGCACACCTGCCCTCTCTGTCCTCTTGTTGACATGATTTGTGAAACAGGAAAAAGGCACTAAGGATGCCCCTTCTCTGCTCTCCTGTTGGGTCAGCTATGTTTCTATCCTTCTGGTTACAGCCTGTGGGAGAATGTTCTGTCCCCATTGGGGGTGGGGGTGATCTAATGGCTGTGATTGTAATTTGTAAATAAATTTTGTTAAAGATATGAACCATGTTTTCCAATGAACCTCACTAATAAAACATATTTTTAATTCCTACTTGATTCCTGTGTCTATCTCTCAATTTATTTTTTCAGGTCATGGAGCAAAGGGAGGTCACGGTTAATTACCACCCCTAAACCAACAGGAGTAAACAAATCAAGAAAATATTTGTTGAGAGTAAAAAGTCCTGTGAAGGAAATAAACAGGGTAAATGATAGACAGTGACCTGGTTTGAAGGGGCTCCTGTAGATGGGATTGTCAGGAAAGGTCTCTCCAAAGAGGAGACACATGGGTGGAATCTAAACAATGGAGGGGAGTCCATCCTGACTGCAGCCACGTAGACCGCTCCTTGCACAGGGAACAGTAAAGGCCAGTCCCTGGGCAGGAAGAGTCCGTGAGTTCTGGGAAGAGAAAAAAATCCAATGTCCCCAAACCATAGGGACTAGATGTTGTGAATTATTCACTGTAATCCTGTTTATGGCTAAAATTTGGGATTGACATAAAAGTTTATGAATTGGAGATGGATTAAAATATTCTGCTACTTTTGTAAAAAGCACAGAAAACAATGCTACCATTTAAAAATGTAATATAGATCTTTATATAGTAAAAGGAAAACTTTTCCACATAAGGTCAAACCATGTGTGTATAATATGATTAGATTCATATTTTAATATATAAGCACATTTATATACACGTCTTCTGCGTCTCTTTACACATATGGGGGAAATTCTTTAAGTTAAAAAGGAAATTGCACTCTTTATCTCTAGAGAGTAGTATTATGCAGGGGCATACCTCTTCTATAAATTGTTTGCTTATTTGTTGTTTGTTTTTTAATACACTTTATGCATTATCATGAGAAAAACAAGGCATTTTCATTTTGGAAAAATCCACAATGTAATATACAACCATAGTTGCCCATCATTTTTGCTCATCTTGAGCGTAATCCTCACCAAATTTTAACAGGAACCTCAAATCTGAGCTGATTTTCTTAGAGCTTCAAATGGGAGAAATAAGTCACTGCATTATGTTAAACAGTTAAGTTTGACAGGAAAGGAGACATGGAAAACCTCAATCTCATTTTTCTTCATAGAGTTTTTTTTGTGAATTGTACAGAGAGAGAAAAAGATCAAGATCTTCTATTGACTGAAAGTAAAAATAAATCTTAAATCAGTTGAAAGTTATTGAAACATCCACCAAAATGTGAATGGGGGCACAAGCAGAGCAAAATTCTGATGTTTCACAGTTGAAGGAAATGATTTTAGTCATAGAACATTTCGATGCCTTTCCAGTTTTCTTATCTGAATGTAGCTTAGGGCATTTCATGTTAAAAACCAAAAGAATTGAAAACAACAATAAAATAGTTACCTGTAAAGGCAGAATCAGAAGTGACAGGGAATTTAGTTGTCATCTAAATTCTAAAGGAAACTTTCAATCCGGTTCTTAGGAAAAGTCTCTGACAATCAGCCTACTTTCTAGCGGGAATGTTGTATCCCAAGTCAGCTCATGAAATTCTGCTCTTTCCCTAGATACTGCTGGAGGACTCATGTCAAACTTCGTCTCTGTGAATTCCCTTTATTTACATTCCTATGCTTGCAGTATGGTCACTAGTAGACACAGTTGAGCAGAGTGCCACAAAATTGCTATTTTGAGCGACGCTTGCTTCCTTTCATGTGAACCTATGTGTCCATGTCTACACGAATTTGGTGTATCTATTAAAAGGACAGGGCCATCCTCAAGTAACTCCCTAAGTTTTGGTTGAAAGTTCACTGGAACACCCAAGAAACAGCAGCAAATTACGATCAGTAAAATATCTTACAATATCACTCAAATACTATTGAATTGATTGTACCTGAGCTAATAGGTATACTTTGACTTATTAATTGATATATTTTAATTGCATGCAATAGAGCACACTTAAAGGACATATATCGAAGCTCCAATTAGGAGATAGATGAAATGAGAATCTGCCCCATTTTCTGGACAATATAAATTTAATGACTGAGTGGAATATGGCCCTTTGTGGACACACCAAATATTGTGTTAATCGGTCCCACTGAATCAAGCTGAATGGGATGTCAGAGAGATCTTAATCCCTGAGGCCTCGAGGGGCATAGACATTTTGTAAATTTTCAAGGATTTGCAGATACAATACACAGAGAGATACCTACGTGAAGATTTCTTTAAGTGTCCACTCTAGCTACACATTAAAGAAAGATCTTCAGTGCCCAGAATAAGGAGAAAAGTTTCAATGGATACGTTTTTCTGTCCTTCCATGGCATGAAAATTAACAGGGCCTGAAAAACATAAGGTCCCTGAATGAGATCATGGCAGCATGGTTCACATGTTGGTCAGACATCATTCTAATCCCAATTCTGCAAGGTGAACGCGTGAGCTTGAGTAATTTACTCTAAGCTCCACGGTTTTCCTCTGTACATGGTGACAACAGATGTCTACGGGCTGATGTGGAGAATAAATACCATTAAACTGATATATATTAGGAGTTAAATAAATGTGAGCTGTTATTAATAGTATTAAGGAGACCACAAAATTCAAAGAAGACTCCAAATCATTGGGATTAGAGATCCAACAAAATCATGATATTGTAAACTCTTTCATATTTATCTTGCTTTTCTCATGGTTATTTCTGAGTTTAAATTTAAAAACATACATTTTTCTTTCATTTCTATTAATGATTCTACATGCTGATTTTTAAAATTCAGTTTAAAAAGGAATTTCAGGAAATGGAGGAATCCTTTACAGTAACCTCATTCCTGGATTGAAGAAGAAAATGCAAGCATTAAAACTCAAGTGTCA